TTATTTGCTCAGATGATATGTTTGGGAGAAACTGGCAAGCCTTTGGACACACAGGCCCTTCTTCAGTCTGAAACAGAAAGGAAAATTTCAAGATATGTACAAGCTCAAAATAGCTGTCGCTTCGAGAAAGTGATACCAAGCTTTCTTGGTATCTTACAATGGAAAAAATCTCCCTGCTCAGAGACGTGGCCCTGCCTCTCCATTGACACTGAAAAAAGCCTCAAAAAATAGTTAGACTAAATGCCTGCATTTTGAAGAACCACAGTTAAGGTTAGATGAATCCTTCTTGTAGGTTGACGAGCATAATGGAAACAGCTATTCCATCTGCTATAGTAAGGATTGGGTATATTTGAACCCCAGAGTTTAAATGCTTCTGAAAGTGATTCCTCACAGTTTTTTACTCTGGTACATTACCCATGTCTTTAGAAAGTTCAGACTATCTGTTGATGGTGTACTGTAGACCAAAGTGGCAGATACATTAGTCAGGAGCTCATCCCATATTGAGGGTGGTGAAAAAGCAGTATTCCTCTCCCTTTAAAGCAAGGAGGAGGTAATAAAAAGTTGCTTTTTTTGTTTGTGTATTAGCTTTTTTTTTAATGTCTGTTTGACTAAAGTAAAAAAGTGACAGTACTTTCAAACCAATTATGGCTGTCATATATTATTTTGATACACTGTATTTTTCTCCAAAATACTGCAACATTTCAAAGCAGAGGTGATGTAGTGCAGATAAATTATTTGAAGATATATGATAAATGTATTTTGTTATGTAAGTCTGCAGTGAATCGCATTCTTATGTATAATACAAAAATATATTATTTAGTATCTGCATACATATTGTAAGTGTTACTCACTAGGTGACTATGACTGTGACTAGGGTCACATATGTCTTATATTTCTTACTATAACACTATTTACCCCGTTGCTTATAAATGACAAGGTGAACTGTTCATCAAATTTGTAGATTTTTAGTAGTTAAATTCTCAGAAACATCTGTCCGTGCTCTAGCCCAGAGCTAAAAAGAGCTCTTCCCATACTTTCATGTGTGCGTTGCTGTGAGTTAGCTAGGTATAGATACCTGAAATGAAAGAAGAGAGACTGTCTCAACTGTATTCTCAGTGGCAGACAAATTTAATTTGGACTTTTTAGTAACTGATGAGAAATATTAACATTTTTCTTTGCAATATGCCTATACATTCTGTACTTTTTTTTTAAGGTGTCAGAGATAACAGATGAACTGGCTACGTTGCCTAAAAGAGCTCAGTTAGCAGCTGCCTTTATTACCTATCTTTCTGCTGCTCCTGAGGATCAGAGGAAAACCAGCTTGGATGAATGGACCAAATCAGCAGGCCTTGAAAGTAATTGTGTGTGTGTGTCTGCCTGTCTGTCTGTCTGTGTAAGTAATTGAGCTTGATTGAGGAAGTGAGAAATGCCAGTGAGTTCTAATGAACAGTCTCAGTTGTCTTGGTGTTCCCAAATGAAAAGTGACAACGTTTTCTTACTCAATAAATACTTGTATATACCGACAGACTATTTCTTAGGATTATTACGTTAATTATTAAGATTATAAATACTTATACATTCTTAAGACTTAGCTCCATAGTCCTTGCTTAAAATGAAAAGTTTACATGAATGAATGTATTCACATTAGCTGTTGTAAATTTGCCAATGCGTTCTGAATGTTTCTGATTTTTCAGTAATCATTTTTATCTGTGTGTGTTAATAACACCATTAAATATTTTTTGTAACATCAGGTAGTTAATAGTAATAAGTTCAAGCAATAAAATAATAAATTTAAGGAAAATCTACAGACTTGCACTGTGTTAGAGTCTCCACTGTATACAGAGTGGTAAATGCTTAAAAATTCTGCAGACTATAAATACTAGCACAAATGTACACTCTTTTGTTTATCAGAGTTTGATTTACGGCGGTTCCTGTGTACAGAAAGTGAGGAGTTAGTTTGGAAAAGTGAAGGTTTACCTTCAGATGACCTTTCAATAGAAAATGCTCTTGTCATCTTGCAGGTAAATTTGGTTTTTTGTCTTGTCTTGGAAGTATTTCAGTTTCTACAAATTTCAGTAACATGGCATCTTTCTGGAATTTTGAACTATTTCATTTGTGTTATTTTATGAGCACCACAGAACACACAGAGAGAAACAAATACTTATGTAACTCTGGGTATTCTGTAGTAAAAGGTACAGTTAAAGAAAATAAATGTTTTTCTTTTTTGCTTTCACAATTTTCTTCCAGATGTTGAACAGACAAAACCTGGTATCAGTCTATTCAGGCTTCAAGTGTGAATTATCATTAACAATGATACAATCAGTGGAAGATTATGTCCTATGTATATTCAGTTTGACATACCATTTCTAATACTTTTTTCCTCAGAAAAAGGAAAAGGCTATATGCAGATAACTTTCAAAACATCTAGATATTAAACTGTCATGGTTTTGGCTGGGATAGAGTTAATTTTCTTCCT